CGGTAACAGGCCGCAGCCCATAGTTTGGGAAATGCTGATTTATATTATTTTTAGTCATGTCACTTTCCAATAATATTATATATTTTTAGTCATGCAAATGAGCATTCTTATATGGCTCTTTGTTGACCACGTGTTCTGAATTTTGATGTAGTTTGTCTCTTTGGTTTGAAAAGCTTGCTGACCACTGAGCTACAGTAAAGTATTTGGGTCGCTATCATGTGACAGTGAAGTACTTGAATATGTAATCAGTAGGGTTGGCCATGAATTTTTCTATTCGGTGTGTTTCAGAAAAATCCTGGTTCATCAAAACCCAAATATTTCATGGAAGAAGATTAGTTTTGATAAACTTCTGATGAGCTAATCTGTCCCCAAAACACTAGGAGGTTTGGATGTGAACGTCAGGACTCAGGTCCATCTTTATTATGTCAAGTGCTCAGAAGTTCACTGGCATCAAAATGAATTAGCAATGTGGGGCTAAACAGGCAAACAAAACGTTTGGGAGCCATCACACAGGAGATTTAGCATTATGAGTTTATATGGTATGGCATTGCTAATAGAGGTGGTTGTTTTGGAGAATCACTGTTCAGTTTTAGAATGAAAAATAGAAATTTTGAAATGTCCTATGGAAGTGAAAATCAGAAAAGGTATTGACAGTCTCTCCTCCAAAGCTGCTGCTTGACCTTGCAAAAAGAAGAGCAGCAGTGGAGATCTCCAGCCATTCCCCGAGTGATGATAAAAACTCCAAGGTCTATTTAGCCTCTGTCACATTTGCATCTACCAGGTATATAGAGCTTTCAAAAAATGGAATGACATTCATCTTCTCTATGGGGTCTCTAAAATATTAACTACAAGTCTGAGAGTCATGGAGTGGGAAAAGAATGGAAATAAAAAGGCTGCCTCCTTCCATAACAATATATATTACCTAGCACTTTGCTGCACGGGTCAGGAAATAGAACAGCCAAATAAAATTCTGCCCATGCAAAGGAGAGAGCTAACATTTATACCTTTTGAAGGTCAGGCTTCCCCCAGTGATCCAGACTCACAGACATTTAAAATGTGTGTGCGTGTCTGTGTGTCTGTGTGTGAGATATTTGAATATCTCACAATATAATACATTCCCCATGATTTCTAGCAAGTATTTGGCTGCAGGTTGTGTATAGAGAGTAGGTACCACAGAAAGCTTCATACTGGCAAATTAATTCACATCTTCATTTTCATTTTTTAATTTCTCCTGAACCACACTTTCTCTTGGTCTGTCAGAAACCAGTCCCACAGTATTCCACATAATCATCTACCAAAGTGGTTTTTCCATGTCATCATCTGACAAAGTGGTTTTTACCCACAAAAGCATATGCCCAAACAAATCCCTTAGTTTTTAAGGTGCCACAGACTCCTTGTTGTTTATGCAGAGATGTAGTTACATTCACTATGACTAACACAGCAACCCCTCTGAGACTTATTTAAAATATTGTAATTTTATTATTGTACATGGTAGCATGGGGCACTTTATCTGCAGAATGTTGTGGTACTTTCTTATATGTGTGCCTTACATCATTATTGTTAGAGGTCCCAGAGGGGTAGCTGTGATAGCCTATAACTTTAAAAACAATGAGTGGTCCTGTAGCACCTTAAAGATTAACAAAGGTTTAGGATCATGAGCTTTCATGGGTAAAACTCCTTTCATAAGATGAAGTGGAGTGGAAACCTGTTTTCTGTTATTTCCACTCCAACTCATCTGATGAAGTGGATTTTACCCATGAATGCTCATGATCCTATACCTTTGTTAATCTCTAAGGTGCCACAGAACTACTCATTATCATTATCATGGGTATTTTATATAACATAATTCCCTCAAAATCCTGACCAAGACCAAGTGGTGCACAACCAGCCCCTCCTTCTTGGGCATTGGTTGCCCTCTGAAATCAGGCTCAGAAAGACCTCAGGGTTGTACATCACCAAAGTTTGTCCCACCATCAATGCCCAACTATATACAGTCTTTACGGGGGCGGGGGGAAGGGTTCCCCCTCTTTCAGTCCTCAGAAGGCCTCCAAGCTCCCTCTGTGATTGACATCTCCCTCACTGCCTGGCCCCAGTTCTGGCTTCTTCACAACCTAGATAGCCCTTGGCATCAGGTCTTTTCCCTGGCTCCAATCTGTTCCCCTTGATCGGAGCTAACAGAACAAGGGCTATTTAGGTCCTCTTGCACCAATACCTGCTACACAAGCCTAACCAGCATAGACCTACACCACTCTCTTTCATAATGGAAGCTGGACAAATTCACACTAAAAACAAGGCACACATTTAAATGAGAGTAATCAATCCTAGGAACAACATACCCTCCATCACTGATTTTTTTTAAACCCAGATCAGATATTTTTCTAACAGCTATGCTTTAGTTCAAACAAGAGTTAATTTAGGGAAGTCATAGGGCTTCAGATGATCAGACTACATGATCACAGTGGTTCCTTCTGGCTTTAGCAATTTCTGAATCTATATTAACAATTTTCACTTCATTGTCTACCCCCAAATTATGGTTGTTTTAAAAAATAATAATTATTAAATAAGTGTTGGCCTTTAGATATTGTGATGACAAAGACAGTATAAACCAGGGGTGGCCAATAATTTTTGAAGGGGGTTCCAGTCCAAGATTTTGGTTAATGGAGGGGGTGTTGGGTCTGGGATGAAGGTTGAGTCCAAGAAAAAGCTTGTGGTAGGAGACTGGGGTGCAGGGTCTGAGAGGGAGTTTGGATGGAGGAGGGGGACTGTGATCTGGGATTCTGGGGCAGGGGCTTAGGGTGCAGGATCCGGGAGAGGGCAAGGGTGCAGGAGAGGATTCTGGCCAGAAGGAGGTGTCTAAGAGAGGGTATAGAGTCTGGGAGGGAGTTATGACCTGGAGGAGAAGGGTGGAGATGCTTTGGGTGATGACCTGTGGCAGGAGGAGGTGGTGGCCTGGGGCAGGGAGTTAGGGGGAAAGAAGGGGCTGGGGTGCCAGAAAGATGCTCTTGCTGGGAGGAGCTTACCTAGTGGCTTCAGGCCAATAGGAGCTGAGAGATTTTGCTGGGGGTTAGTGGCAGTGTGTGAAGCCTCCTACTCCCCCTGGCACTTGGAGCAGAGAGAACCATAGGGAACAGCCAGCTACTTAAAGCAGGATGGGACTGCTCTAAAGTGGCTAGCTGCTGTGTGTGCCTGGGAGTCTTGGAGAGTCAACCTAGGGGTCAGAACCCGTCCACGGGCCTTGTTTTGCCTGCCCCATTATAAATGATTAGACAGATGAATTGCTCAGTACATGGCACTATCGGGTGCCAAAATTACTACTAATTAAGTAATGTTGAATGCAGGTTGTCCAAAACCTCCACAAACTTTAGATGGTTTTCTTCTTATTCTAAGTCTGTTTTTCTGCATCTCTTGCCTCTGCCTTTCAGTTCCTTATGTGTCCCACTTTACCCCAAGCACATGCAATCGTATCCTAGAGGTGAGAAAACTGAAAACTGACTCTGAGTTTCTTCAGGTTCCAAAGGCCTAACAAAATCAATGCACTGTAATAGAGAGGTCCAAAAGATTCTACAAACTTCCCAAGCCCTTTCCTGCAACGTCCCACAAAAAAAATCTCTTGAAAATTGCCTTCACCATATGCTTGCTTAAGGATATTCTAATTAAAAAATCTTAACTGGGGTATATACTTCATTCTTTTCAACGAGACACACATGTGAAACCAAAAGGGTAATGACTGAACACCACGTATTAGTATTCTTATCTAACTCCAGCTCTTACAGAACTAAAACTAAGAAAGCATAAACAGAGATGTGGGTCATGAAATATGACTTTGCTACTGGAAACATAATCTAATAATAGTTCTGCCAAAGTCACAAAAGCCTGCTGATAAGGAGGCACAAATACTCAGGGACATTTCTATCAAATAGTGTCTATACCTTACAGCAGGAAAGAAATGAAGAGCTAATCTTGAAATCAATAAATAACATCAATGCCAATTCGTTTGCCTTGTCTGACAGACATTAATTCAAGAGAGTTCCTAAAGAAATTAATTCAGCCAGTAAGGTTACAAGAAGAAACTCAAACTAGATTAGGAATCTATTTGCTGCATTAAAGTAGCAGATAGTCTAAATTGTAAAGAATAGACGGTATCATGACTGAACCCAAAGGGAATCAAGGAATTTTGTCTTATCATACCTGTCTGTCGACTAGGTTCTTGAACAAGGCCTGTCTTCATTTTTGTCCTGTATAGTACCGAGCACATCCTCTGTGTTTAAGAAATAATAGATAATGACAGTATTCCTGAAATATATGTCAGGTGTTCGGTACCAGCATTTTATAAACACCAGCAAAAAGCTCCCACTGAAAATGGTCAGAATATGACTGATCGTTCCTAGCCTACAGCAGTGCTCTTAGTGCAGTTATATTCATCCTGCAATAACTTTTTCACACTCAATTCCACATTGTATATACAATAACCTTTCACAAAGAGTAGAATCCTCTAGAACAGCATTTTTCAAACCTGGATCATGGGGCCTGCCAGGGTAAGCTGCTGGCAAGCCTGCACTGCTTTATTTCCTTAACGTGTCTGTAGCCATGGAGCCTTGAAACTCCCATTGGCTGCAAAGAGCAAACCACAGCCAAGGAGAGCTGCACTTGGGGCATCTTGGTGGTGGGGGAGCTTGTGGTCCTGACTGACGGAGTCAGGGGGCCCACTGATTTCTATCATGGGGCCTAGAATTTCTCTTAGTAGACCTGGGTGGCAACTTAATGTTCATGCCTGGGTTATAATACAAAACATTTCCAATATTTTCTTTCTTGATTTTTAGGTGAGGTTTCTTCTGATGACACATGGTGGCTCACCAGTCCTGAAGAATGGGATCATCTTTTATCCAGCCAACAGGAACAATTAAAGCATCTGAAGAACAAGTTTCCCCACAGTGCCCTGCCAATTTACTTTAACTCTGCTTTAAAGGGACCCTTTTAGGTTGAAAGGATAGTTAAATCTCTGTGTTGGCTTTTTGATTGAAATGATCAACAAGGGGGCAAGTGATTGTCAATTAAGAAGATGGCTTTTATGTCTGTCAGTATTTATACTGTGCCCATCTACTGATTTCCACACAGACAATTTAAATTTCTCAAACAGGGACAGCTTTTGGTCATTACTAACTTAGTCTGGATTCAGTTCAGTCAGCTAACAGGAAATGTATGACCGTTTATCTCTAGAGGCATTTTACCTTCTTCCGAATGAAGTATATTTAAAATAAACTCACGCAGATTTACAAGTACAGAGCATTTTGGAATTTCCCATGCTGTAAGTGCATTACTACGTGTACCATATGAAGACATGAATAATATAATTGCGAAACGTGTAAATGATCACTCTGCATCCTTGCAACGCAAGATCAGGCCTGCAGAAACAGCAAGCAACTGCTGATAAGGAGCAGCTACTAAGGGCTGACAAGGCTTCCTTCACATGTTATCTGTACCTTTAATCAGGAATGCAATGAAGAACCAATCTAGAAATCAATAAATAGATAAAGCCAATGCTAAAACTATCACCCAGTTCTACTATCAGTAATTCAAGCCACTTCTAAAAATGAATGCTGGATATTAAAAACCAGAAAGTAAACAGAGGGGAAGGAGATAAGTATAAATGAATGAAAGGGTAACGTGCTCAGTGACTTTCTTTTAATTTGCCAGTGGAACAAATACTTCGCTTCAAACCTTTAATTAAATATATTTCATTCCTTTGTCTTAGTCATGTCAGAGTTTTTTAATAAATATAGCTACAGTTGTGATCATTATTAAAGTTCTTTGCTGGAAATTAGTACCGTTTACCAACAGGTCACCAATCATCCTTATATTTGACAATACATAAACAATTTTTTAATCAGATCCATGAAAATAATGAAATAATGAATAAACCAGAACGGATGATAATCTACTTAGAAGAAACATTACAGTGACTTCCATTTATACTACAACTGTAAAGGATTTTTTAAAAATAAAAAGCTAACATTGTTATTTGGTTATACTGGGTCAAATTCTGCATGATATATATCCTGTACAATCCCATGTGACTGGAGTCTGAACTTAAGTATAAATCCAGAATAAATCTTTTGAATTCAGTAGAGTTACTCCAAATAACTGACAAAAGAATCTGAACAATCAGTTCAGTATGAGTGGCTAAAACCAGCCCTATTCATCCCTGTAGAAACTCCACCAGTCAACCAAATATGAATATATCCCATTGTGTCACAACTTCAGCTGCAGAACAATTAGTGATAGGCAAACCAATCAAGTTAAAATAACATCTGACAAAAGCATTCAACCAAAACAGAAACTGAACTGATTCCAAGCCTTTTTGAGGTTCAAAAGTTTGATTTATTTCACTACCTTTCTACTTCCCAGTGCTTAGAAGTAGCTCAACCAGAACACTGGCAGGCTACGTCTACACTGGCATGATTTTCCAGAAATGCTTTTAACGGAAAAGATTTCCGTTAAAAGCATTTTCGGAAAAGCGCGTCTAGATTGGCAGGACGCTTTTCCAGAAAAGCACTTTTTCCGGAAAAGCGTCCATGGCCAATCTAGATGCGCTTTTCCACAAAAAAGCCTCGATCGTCATTTTCGCGATCGGGGCTTTGTTGCGGAAAACACTACTGTGCTGTCTACACTGGCCCTTTTCCGGAACACTTTTCCGGAAAAAGACTTTTGCCTGAACGGGAGCAGCATAGTTTTTCCGGAAAAGCACTGATGATTTTACATTAGATCGTCAGTGCTTTTCTGGAAATTCAAGAGGCCAGTGTAGACAGCTGGCAAGTTTTTCCGGAAAAGCGGCTGATTTTCCGGAATAACTTGCCAGTGTAGACACAGCCTCCAAGTACTAATGGCATTATTGTTCTTCTACCCCATGTTTATATTAGGGGTACACCTACATAGCAACAATAACTCACGTTATTTTGAAATAACTCTGTCTGCATCTATCCAGCGGGGGGTTATTTTAAAATAATTTCAAAATACTGTCAAACTGGAGGATTTCTTACTCCGACTCCTGTAACCCTCATTGTATGAGAAGTAAGGGAAGTTGGAGGAAGAGTGCTCTATTTCGAAATAAGTGATAATAATAGTTTTAATGTGAAGCATGAGGAGTAAGGGAAGTTGGAGGAAGAGTGCTCTATTTCGAAATAAGTACTGTGTAGACACTCCCAATTTTGAAATAAATTATTTTGAAATAAGTTACATAATTGACATAGCTCAATTTGCATAGTTTTTTTAAGTTAACCCTTGCTGTGTACACACCCCTTACATATTCTTCAGATATGTAACCTAGTTATTGGGGTGTAAAAACTACCGAATGCTTCTGATTTCTTCTAACCTAGAGATTGTCTGCTAATCCCTAGAGGTGGAAGTAAGCAATTCTACTAGGATTCTTTTAATTGGTCAATTAGCTAGTCTTTAGGGGAGCACCTTGGCCTAATGGAAAAAACAAGGAGTCCTGTTTCACCTAAAAGGCTAATTTTAGCCTTTAAGGTGCCACAGGACTCCTTATTTGTTTTTGTGGATACAGATTAACACAGCTCCCTCTCTAATATATGATCTAATGAATAGTGTCCTGGACAGATATCAAGAGGACTAGACTCTCTTCCCAGCTCTGCCTGCAATTTTATGAGTCTCTCTGCTTCCATTTCTCCATCTGGGAAATGGGAATGTTTCTGGAAATTCAAGAGGCCAGTGTAGACAGCTGGCAAGTTTTTCCGGAAAAGCGGCTGATTTTCCGGAATAACTTGCCAGTGTAGACACAGCCTCCAAGTACTAATGGCATTATTGTTCTTCTACCCCATGTTTATATTAGGGGTACACCTACATAGCAACAATAACTCACGTTATTTTGAAATAACTCTGTCTGCATCTATCCAGCGGGGGGTTATTTTAAAATAATTTCAAAATACTGTCAAACTGGAGGATTTCTTACTCCGACTCCTGTAACCCTCATTGTATGAGAAGTAAGGGAAGTTGGAGGAAGAGTGCTCTATTTCGAAATAAGTGATAATAATAGTTTTAATGTGAAGCACACAACTCAATTTTTTGTTGAGATATCACTTATACATAGATATCTCAAGCTGAGAATTTTTCAGATTTCAGTTTGGTTTTCATTCAGGAGTAGGCATGAGCAAAGCATGCCCTGAGGCCCATCAGCCAGGCCTTCGGGGGAAGATCGAATTAAGATAAGCAACTCCACCTTTGTTAATTATGTAGCTGAAGTCAATGTACCTTAATTTGAGTTTCCATGGTGTCTCCACAGCAATTGCATAGCTTAAGTTGATGTATCTTATCTTAACTTTGGCATAGTCTACACTGCGGGAAGTAGAAGGGAGCATCCTCTCAGTTCAAATTAGTGTGTCTTCACTGGACCCGCTGACTGGAATATTTACTCCCCATGAGGAGCAGGAGTACCAGCATCAACGGGGGCACCATCTGAGTTCAATTTAGCAGGTCTTTACTAGACCTACTAAATCAAGCTCCTGAAGGTTATCTGTAGTGTAGACATGGCCCTAGAAACTAGTAAATCTGGAAATTTCATGGAAGAAAATCTGAGCTTCTGATGTTTCCAATGTGATTTTCAAAATGAAGAAACTTGGATAAACTATGAAAGGATTCAAACTTTCAAATACTTATCCAATCTAAAGCAAATAGCCGGAATATTTGGATTTACCCATCACTGTGGTAAAAGTTACAAGTTGTCTGGTTTCATTACAAATACCAAAGGTTTAATTCTACATCTTTCACATACATTGAGTAGTAATCTGTATGCACATCTTTTTGCATTATCATTGGAGATTTTATTAGCATTACTGTTAGTATTAGTGTTAGTATTAATATTAATATTAGTATATTACTTTTCCAGTACTGTTCACATAAACAGTCACAACTACTTTTGTATGCAGTGTTGTTGTAACCATGCTGGTTCTATCCAAAGCCCAGGACCCTGATGCTAACAGGGGACTATAGCTATTGAGTCATCTGGGAAAATAACAGGGCACAGATTATCCAACAAGTTCTTGGAGTGTATTGGAGATAATATCTTATTTCAAAATCTGGAGAAATCTACTGGGGGAAAGCTGTTCTATATTTGACTTTGACAAAAAGGTAGGAACTGGTTGAGAATTGGAAAGTGGAAGGCAGCTTAGGTGAAAGTGATCATGAAATGATAGAGTTCATAATTCTAAGGAATGGTAGGAAGGAGAACACCAAAATAAAGATAATGGATATCAAGAAGGCAAATGTTAGCAAATTCACGGAGCTGGTAGGTAAGGTCCTATGGGAAGCAAGTCTTAAGAGGAAAAACAAGTCAAAATAGTTGGCATTTTTTTCAGAGAGACATTATTAAGAGCACAGAAGCAAACTATTCCATAGGAAAGATATGAAGTATTGCAGGCAACCACCCTGGCATAACTAGGAGATCTTCAATGGTCTAAAAATTAGAATAAGTCCTACAAAAACTAGAAATTATGTCAAATTACAAAGGATGACAATAAGCAAATAACACAAGTATGGAAGGACAAAATTAGAAATGCCAGGGCACAAAACAAGATCAAACTAGCCAGAGATATAAAGGGTAACAAGAAAACATTTTACAAATATGTTAGAAGCAAGAGGAAGACCAAGGACTGGGTAGGCTCATTACTCAATGAAGAGGGGGAAACCGCAACAGAAAATGTGGAAATGGCAAAGGTGCTTAATGACTTTGTTTCAGTTTTCACCAAGAAGGTTGTTGGTGATTGGACAGCTAATATAGTGAATGCCAATGAAAATGGGATAGGTTCCGAAACTATAAATAGGAAAGAACAAGTGAAAAATTATTTAGATGTGTCTTCAAGTCACCAGGGCCTGATGAAATACATCTTCAGATACTCAAGGAGCTGAATGAGAATATATCTGAGCCATTAGCTATTATATCTGAAAAGTTACAGAACAAAGGAGAAATTCCAGAAGACTGGAAAGGGACAAATACAGTGCCATTGATAAAAAGAGAAATAAGGACAACCCAGAGTATTACAGAATAGTCAGTTTAACTTCTGTATCGGGAATAACAATGGAGTAAATAATTAAAGAATCCATTTGCAAATATCTAGAAGAATAAGGTGATAAATAATAATCTACATGGATTTGTCAGGAACTGCAATTTCTAAACTTGATGTTGTTCTGAATTGGACTGAAAAACTGAATTCTAAATTTTCCCACAAAACAAAATATTCAGTAAAGTTTGTTTCAGGTAGATCAAAATGTTTTATTTCTGTTTTGACTCATATTCCATTCTATTCAGTAATTTATATTCTACAATAGAACACAATATGTTTTAAAAGAAGATTGTTTTAAAATGAAAATTCAGAGTAGAAAAATTTCAATTTCTTTGTTCTATATGAAAAATCACATTGATATGCTCCCAAAGAATGTTTTGATTTTGATGAATCTGCATTTTCAGAAGTAAAAAAATATTAGGTCAGAAATCTTTTCACCAGCACTGGTAGTATATATTTACATGAGACATCTCATTAGCTGTTCTGAAAGTTTTCTGGAAATTCAAGAGGCCAGTGTAGACAGCTGGCAAGTTTTTCCGGAAAAGCGGCTGATTTTCCGGAATAACTTGCCAGTGTAGACACAGCCTCCAAGTACTAATGGCATTATTGTTCTTCTACCCCATGTTTATATTAGGGGTACACCTACATAGCAACAATAACTCACGTTATTT